GAATGTATCAAAACCACACTCCCCACAGAAGATGGAGGAAATGAGATAAAGCCCAATGAACTGCAAAGAGCTCAAAAAGATTAATACAAAGGCCTTATTCCACAGAAGATAAAATCCCAGAGATGCATCCACCCCACAAGAGAAGCATCCATGAACAGATGCTGCTCAGGAATGAGAGGTAGAAGAGGAACATCAACAATAATATTGGTTCTGTTCAACCATCATGTAAGATCTGTCCACAAGGAAACTGGATGGATGTCCTGAAAAACTAACAGATCCAAAAAGATATTGCAATGATCTCACACTTCCCACTAAAGAGCATGTGAGCATGTCCAAGAGGAATTAGTGCTTCCAAAGAAGCCCACATCCCCAAAAGAGATAAAACCTCTCAAGCAGTCAGAGGAGGAGAGGATACAGCCTTGAATACCAAACTTTCCATATCCCAAATACGAAGGGGAGATGGCCAGAAGAAGACAGTCGTCCATATAATGATGAGTCCTGAAATGTAAAGAATGGAGATGGCAAGAGAAAGTTAGAACAACCCATTGCAAGCCCAAATGGAAGAGCCTGAAACTGGAAAACATGTCCCTTGTAATCGAACTAGAGAAATCAGTGGGAGGAGGGAGATATGAACATGTGAAAATAAGTATCTGCTACATCAAATTTGGTCATCCACAAACCCACAGTGAAAACTCAATGATGGGACTGAAAGGATTCCATGGTGAAACAAGGGGGTTTCAGCAACTGATCAAGACAGATCAATGACTGGTCTCCACTCTCCGATCTATTTGAGGATGACAAACAGTCAAGAATAAAAACTTGAAGAAACTAGAACTACTGGTTCAATAGCATATTTGAGCAGAAGCTCTGATACAGCCTCAGAAAAACAAATGCAAAAAACCGGATCGTTTGGAGGAGGAAACATAATAGGGGAGGAAGAAGAAATGGGGAGGAGACCTGAAGTGAAGAGAAAAAACTTGGGTAAAACCTGGAGAACCCACTGATCTGTAGAAAAAGTTCTCCAAATCTCCACAAAGGAGTGGAGCTTGGCCCCTACAGGACCTGAACCTACAGGGTGGTCACCAATATCACTACCAGAGTTCCCAACATATACGGCTGACACAAGGATAAGGGCAAAAACGAAGACATAGGTAAAGGTACAGGACCAAGAGAAGAGGACATGGAAGGCTGGAATAAACGATTTTCCAAGGGAGAGAGAGAGATAATAATGTAACCTGGCCATATCAATCCAGGACTCCAAACAATCGAATGACCCCCAAAAAAAGGAGCCACCCATAAATCCCAAAGGGAAGATGGTGGAAAGCAAACTCAAGTAAGTTGCACATCTCTCCCCGACAAGTCCCAACAACAATAAGCCATGCAAGGAGTGAAATGGCTGATGAGGAATGTCTAGTCAAAGTCGACCACAAAAGAAAACCAAGTTCCTTCCAAAAAATTGTTGGGAGAACAGTGAAAAGCCTCTGATAACAGGTGCATAGAAAAGAGTTAACATAAAACATGAGTAAGAGTGAGACAAATCCAAGAAAATCTGGCCTGAGACAAAGAGAAAGAAGCCTCAGGATTGGAACCCCATAAAGGAAAAAGGGGCTCAAACATTGAGAATCCAAACAAGGACTGAGAAAATGATGAAAGGCCAAAGCATGTTGCTCAGAAACACAAGGGGGTGAGGCATACCAGAAACCAAAATAATTTGAGACAAAAATCGTTGAACATGCACCTCTATATCTGGGGAACAGGGAAAACCAAGTAATCTGAAGAAGGGAGCTCACTTAATAAGAAAGGGGATGAATCATAAGACACAGGAGAAAGTTGCAAAATACCACGAATCTGAGTAATCAATTGTAGGAATGGCACTGAAGGCCAAACGTCCTCCATTGTTGCCTGAAAAGAGAGCATAGCAAAATAAGGAGCAGGAAAAACTTGGTCAAATTCCTCCTCCTCAGTTCACACCACCTCATGGGGAGAAGAAGACGAACAAGGACCCATGTAGGAAGTTAACTCCTGCCAAACCAAAGCCTGCACCTCCTTGGCCAATAGCACCGATCCCGTGGCATAAGTAATAGGGTTAAATGTGTCTCTACACAAAGCCGGAGCCAACGTAGTAGATACATTATATAGTGAGTTCATAATTCACAACAAATAAGTGTAGTAAACTCTAAACTGTAAGCTAACTGAAAAATAAATCAAGAAAAAAAATATAAACATGGAAATAAAGCAATAAATTTCCACACAAGAAATCAAGAGAAAGTGAGAAACACATCCAACTAATAACATGCCAATCAAGAAAGTGAAGTACACAAAAGGTAATACAGAGGGAGCCAGCTGCTCAGGGAGTGTTTGTCGTGCTCCTATTGGTGGAGGGTTGTAATATGTGCTATGCATGCTAAATGAGCAGCAGGAACTGAGTGGTATAAAAATGTAAGTGCATTAAGCAAGAATTAAGATTTTTAATGCATTAGAGAGCAGTCCAAGATTCAGAAAAGCTTTATATGTGAGAGGAAGTATGTATCATATCAAAATTATGTTTTCCATTTGAAATACACACTTAATGTAAAAATAACAAATGAAGTATCAACAACAAACAAATATTACTACAAAATATAGATTATTTTATTTTTACTTAAAATTATATACTGAAGCATGTCGTTCTTTAACCCTTTAACCTTTTCTGTTTTAGCTACACTGCTTTAAAATATTTTTGTTTTTTGCACAAAGAGCTATCTTCACATAGTTGTCCCTAATTTCAAACTAACAGATTAAAGGGAAAGCAGCTAGTCTTGGGCTACTCTTATCTGACTGAATAGTGGAATTTGACCATCATTGATTCTTGCAATGCACACACAGTCCCAATGAACAAAGTCTAATTTCACAATGAAGGGACATAAACCAGGAATTCTAGGATTCACAGTCCAGGCACAGTAACCATTTGGCCATGCCTAGCCCAATTTATATATCCATGTTTAGAAATATATTCCTTCCTCAATAATTTTATTACATTTTAATTGAAACAAAGCTTGAAATGAAACAAAAAGTTAATTGACTTTTTTCTTCAAATAAGTTGTGTATCTGCACCAGATATTACATGGATGTTCCAAGATGGCAAACTTAAAGTGATGACAAACAGAGCCATCTCTCAAAACAAGTTGTATTTTGCCATTTTGACTATAGGCCACAAAGCCCTTTTGCTCAAATTATCACAAATCATCCACTGTACTAGGTGAACATTTTATTGGAAAAGATGTTAAAGGTACAACGTATCATTTTGCTGCAAGAAAAGCTACCATAAACATTTTACAGGTAATGCAAGGTAACTAGGACCCAGTAAATCATCAATTTAACCAGAGCCTTCAAGATAGAATTGCAAAAAATTGTACCATTCTGAAGTCAATTAAAACAATATTTTCTATGGGTGACAAAATTTGCCCTTTTGAGAGCATCACGATGGCAGCCTGTAACTGAACAATTCAAAACAAGCCCTGGAAACTTCCAAAGATTTTTAGGGTTCAAAATGGAACCTGGGGATGCTGTTCTTGGTAATCATTTTAAAAATGCTGAAAAAAATGCTACCTATAGATGTAAAACTACTCAGAATGACTCATACAAATCTGTGGGGGCTTCATTAGGACCAAAATCATCAATGATATCAAAGATGCACAATTCTACTTATTGTCTGCTGATGAAGTGGCAGATCAAGCCAATCATGAACAGCTATCAATAGTTTTTATATTTGTGGATCAGAATGATAACATCTACACCGATTTTGTGGGATTTGCTGAATGCCCAGACACATCGAGAGAAGTAATTGCAGATAACATTATGGATAAACTACAAGAATGGGACATTCCTTTAAAGAACAGCAGAGGGCGGGCTTACAATGTAGCTGGTAATATAAGCAGGGCACTGAGGGGTGTCAGTTCAAGAACAATAATGGTCCATAATTCACAAGTTTTAAACAAACTAAATCTGGCTTTGGTGAGAGCCATCAAACTCCCTTGTGCTCAGAATAAAATGGACTCAGCTGACACAGTGGTACACATTTATAAATTTTCATCAAAGCAGCAAGTCAACTTAGAGAAATAGATTAAAAATTTCCACCACAGGAAGAATAGGAGGTAATTAAAATAAATGTATAAGGTAAGGTGGATATAGCACCATGACACTGTAACTGTAACTATGAGTTTGTATGAATCTATAACTAATTCTCTTGAGGATATGTGGACACAACCAAGAGACTGGAATGTATTCACAGTGTCTGACATCAGACCTCTTTTCTCTAACCTTATGCAGTTCACATTCATATCAGAAGAGAGACTCTCATATGTCTACCCAATCAGTGTCAACCTACAGTCCAATAGCAACATGGATGTGATAAAATCTGTCTCTGAAGTGAAATCAGTCATTGATGTCCTACAGAAAAAACAACTGTTATCTCTAAACTTGTAAACTTTAAACCTCAGGCTCCAAGAGCTGTGAGCACACAATGCCATCATGCAAATGCAGCAGCAAAGAATACATCAGATTGCTTTGAATGATTTGTGACAGCTCCATTATTGGATGAGATTATGACAGCTTTGAATGACAGGCTGGGAGAAAATTCAAACAGAAATTTACAAGCAATGGCCTTAATTCCATCAGTAATTAAGGGAATGGAATGTGGTGAAGTAGAGGAGTGCATAAGGAACTTTCCTGTCAGTTAAAGAAGATCTACCAAATCCTGACAATCTTGACATTGAAACTAACATCTAGGTGAACAGATGGGCCCAGCAAAATGTTCTGGATCCATCTAAAACAGCAGCTGGTAAAATGAAAGTATCAGTGCAGTAATATTTTTAAAATAATACTTTGAATGTCTGTTGTTCTTTAATTTTAAGTTTATTATGCACACAAAACAATTTGGTACAAAGTAGTTCTATGGCCTGGGTTTTGATAACTATACAAAATTCTAACATAAAAACATGAAAAAAATGAATGTCACCTACTGATTTTTCTGGATGGCTACCAATAAAAGAAAAAAGCTGGTCAAGCAAAGCTGAACATGCAGGTTTTTGATCCTTAGTGACCTGACCTTCTTCCAAGAGAAGATTCTGCAAGACAAAATCTTTATCTTTCCAGTAGCCACTAAGGCGCTTCTCTTTGGTTGAGTGACTATTCTTCAAACTCATATCATCTTTAGATACTTCCAGCTCTGAAGGAGCAGACAGACTCCTTGAGTAATGCTTGTAGATCAGCAGACTACTGTCAGACTGACCTTTCTCTACTGCGAAAAAACAAAATACAGAGATTAGTGCATCAGACTGACTCCTTTCTACTGCAAAGAGATAAAATGTACACAAGAATGTGTTAGACTGACCTCTCTTTACTCTAAAGAAACAAAATACACTGATCAGTGTGTAAGATTGAATCATTTCTTCTGCAAAAACATAAAATATACAATACATTGTGTTAGGCTGACCCCATTTCTGTGGGAAAAAAACATACAGATTAGTGTGTAAGACTGACCCCTTTCTCCTATGGAAAGATCAACTACAAAGATTATTGAACAACAGAGTAACAAATTTATACAAATTATCTGTCTTAGCCATCTGTTTATGCGCTCCATCAAATTGACCAACCCTGAAATCTATGAAGCTATATGTTCTAGTTTTTACTCTAACTCTGAATTTACAAAATGTGTCTTCACAAAAATTAGCAATCTTTTAGTAAATAGCAGAAGTCTGTTGTACACAAAAAAACAAAAGTTTCAAGAAATATTTCTACTAAAGATTTTTTGTAAATTTCCAAAGCCTTTATTGAGTGAAAGGTTATTTTTTCATGCTAAAAACAAAAATACATTTTTCATCTTACAGTTTATAGTTCATTTACATAGCCTCTAGAACTTCCTAAATGAATATTAAAAGGTTTTATTCAGAAAAACTTCCTATTTTCCATATCCTATCATAAATTGTGAATAAATCATCAATGTACAGTGAAAAGGAAATTCAAAAATATAAAATAAAATGAGTAATATAATTTTTTACTCTGCACTGACTATAGTATTAATCATAAAGTTCCAAGTTACTTATCTTAACAATTTCAACTGTTAACTGTTTTACACCTGTTTCCTTTTAATTGTATGGTTTTATTGCCATCAGAAGCAATGAAATCACAGTGGGAGCCCATAAGCTACTTCCTGTGGAGCTAAAGTAAACAATACATGGTTGCTGAGTGTAATGTTTCACAAAGTGCTCAAGCTCATGAAATTTTAGACGTTTTACTGAAGTTTTGTTAGGTTTAGCTGAGATATTACTAATTTTTATATTTTAGTTACTTCTGTTAAAAAATAAACAACAATAAATAAAATATACACATAAAAACGAAGATAAGTAGTACTTACTGCGAACCCAAGTTCTTTTGCAATCAAATCAAAATTTAAGTCATTCTTCTGTAAGGCCTTATTGAAACTTAAAAATTTGGGTGTCCACAAAGAATTCACGTACCTTTAAATACGCATTGCAGAACATAAAATATACCAGTCACTATAATAGAAAGTCCCAAAGAGATTCTAATATATCCAGCTTTCTAAGAAAGCTGCAAATATGTTTAAAAAACTCCTTTAGCATTTGGACCACCAAAATATGATCACCACATAACAAATAATTCAGCTAACTAAGGGTTTACTGCAGGAAAACTAAATAACAACTTGTAAAATTTACGTAGAAGAGAACTTGCTCTTTCTGTTGGTTATAATCATGTCCATCAACAATCTTGGAAATCAGAGAGGAAGGGAGGGGCCTTCTCTGGTGGGTTTGACAAACTTAGTGATATTTCAGCAAATAAAGGAGAGGGGATATTCAAATTTTATATTCCTGCTTGCAATTATGTACAGTTTGTGATTCTTATTTTTTGGAAAATGCAGAAGACTAATTTCTACGTTACAAAATTCTGAAGTAGAGAAAGCAGAACTCAAACACATCACATGATACAGAAAAATGAAGAATGATAACTCTTTAATATTTCTTAATACAAACTACGTTTTTATTGACATACATTGATAAAGAATTGTTTAAGTTGTGAAGATAACATTGTGAAAGGTTACAACATGCATAAAAGAGTTGAGCTAGAATGCAAAGATTGTTTGTTTGTTTGTTATTGAATTACATAATACATAGGCTACTCATGAATTGTTTGCAAGTGTACCTTGTGATTGATTGTTAGGGATTTCGCGCAAAGCTTATAAACTTTACAAACATCATTGGACTATCAATTTCATTTTCTTTTACTTCTTTAGATATTTTTTATGCGCATTTATGAGTAACCACATGGAATGATCATTACAAGATCAACAAAAACAGGTTTTAAGTAGCATAAAATGTAAATGAATTTTAATGCTGGCTAATAAATGAGCTTCATATAAGTCATTCTCAGTATTGCCATTAAATCATTTAGCTTTGCCAAGAATTGTGACAGGAAATTATTTCCTAATATAACATTCTGTTAATAAATATAGTATGGACAGTTTGAAAGAATATCTAAACCTAAACAAAACAAAAAATCATGAATTTTAAAATTAGAAACAGTAGCATTATGACTTGTGAAAGTCACACAAAAAACAAAAAAAATAGTTACTGCAGAGTTACTCAGTACAATATGTCTGTGTTTTAAACACCACAATATCAGGTTAACATATTTATGAGGTAAAGAAATCGGCTCTTTAAGCCAAATAAAAACACACTAAACTGCACTTTTTTTTTAACATTCCTCTGTGTTAGCCTACTTACAGATTTCAAACAGAAGGCATATAAAATATCAATTTAATCTATTTTACTGTCAATCACACATCAGTGTCTAGTAAAAGGGAGGAGGGATGCCAACTCTTACCAGGCCTTTTGGTTTCATTACTTTGCTGACTTTTGACTTTTAAAACTAGCTTTCAGTTTTAGGGAAGGTTTTTAAGGTTAAATAAAAAGTAAATGTTCTAGGTAGTTAAGAAGTTTACGCAGTCTGCAAGAATTTGACATAGCAATATCATCATTCTGTGTGTGTGTGTGTGTGTGTGTGTGTGTGTGTATATATATATCACATTAAAACAACAAGTTCCCAAAAATGAAAATTTTGGGATTGTCTGTTTTTAGGGTAACATGAGCCAACATCTTCATGTATTTAGAATCAATAGATTTTTGAAAAAAAAAAGTAAAATAAGTCAAATTTTCGAAATGAATATGTACCAGAGTCATCTTTTGCTATGGTAACATTGAGTAGTAGCTGGGTTCGTTCTACAATTCCCTTGACAAGTTTCTGTGTTTTTGCCATTGGTTTTACAGCTTCTGTTTCTTTGTAGTTTGTTCCTGCTTCACTGTCCATCTTTTCTCTAGTACAACAACAAAACTATTAAAACTGTTATCAAAATAAAAGGAACAGAAAATCGCTAAAAATGGAACAACTTCCAATAAACTTTTATAACAATATATAACTGTAAATACTGGTAGAACAATAAAAACTTGTACAACAATGAAACTATTGAAACCTGTATGTCAATAAATCAATAAAACTATATCTATTATAATTGGTATACGAATTAGATGTTAAAATAGGAATAAAACAACCATATTTCTTCTAATAAAACTGTATAAAAATATGGCTATTAAAATTGGAATAAAAGAAAAATATTTATACAAATAAAACAATGAAACTGTTAAAACTGCTTCAGGAATACATTAAAAATAGCTCAATAATAAAATTGAGTCAACATTTCTTCCACATGACCTTCACTGATTACAAAGAAAGTTGATTGATAGAAAATGTCAACTATGGTTTCTTTATGTTACAAATCTTATTATGTTTTCTATACTTTCAGCATTCAAACACATTTTAGTTGCACTTGCTTGTTAACTGTTTTGCACAACATCCATTAGAACACCACTAACCTTAATGCTATAATGACAGCTTCAAGGTTGAAAGGATCATACTCCACATCTTTCAGGTAACATAAAAATGCAAGCTCCTTAGATTGAGACTAGACAACAAATAAAAATGCCTTTTAGTACAATTTTTTGATATTCTTTCATTCTAAAGAAGAAAAAAAAAGTAAATGACATCCTTTTTATGCAACCCCTATGCCCCCACTAATGTTATATTGTATGTTTAAATCCCCAAATTTGGTCTTGACCTTTGATCCATAACCTTCAAAGATTAATCAGGTATAGTGTACAAAACTTGTATGAAAATGAATGTTAAAAGAAATTATACAAAATTCCCAGATACATGGTTTGTTCCCAAGTCTTCTAAACTTCCCTTATAATCCTTTGTTTATCCCCTAGAGGAGTTCTAGGTAGTCAATTTCTTGAAAAAAACCATATATATTACTGCTCAAACCACTTCATTTACTCTACACTGGCATACATAATCTCCTTCATCCAATACTTAGCCATTGCTTTAGCTATTTTTCAAAGCTGAACTTCATTATTAACTATTCAGATTACATGTTATCACATCATAAAAGTGTAACAACAAAGGGATGTAATAATAAAAGCACTAATGGAAAAAAAAATCATGTGAAGCACAAGATATGAAACATTATATTTTCAATGAAAGATAGTTTTGGAATGGACAGAAAAATCTTACAAAAATTATTAAATGTGCCGTTTAAATACAATATCCCTCAGTGTTGCACAGAAATGAAAGTTTTTTTTAATACATCTATGCTAAATATGTGTTACATTATCTAATGACAAAATATCAATTTTAACATATGGGCTAAAAATGGGTAGAATAGAGTTTGAATTATTATTTTTACTAAAATTTTAAAATTTATAAGCAGAAGTCCTGATGGGGTTAAAGTGTTGAATAAAATTAACTTTTACTCAACTTCAACACACAGTTAGTCATAAAAAGGCATTAGATCATAGTGCTGCCCCTAGTGGCAATACTTGACAAGTGTTGCATTTGTATCCCTATGATACCCTTAACATTCCCATTCAATTTAATCTTCCTATGCCATTCCATTTGTGAGATGTGATGCACTGAACTGAGAAACTTTTTTATAATCACCCTGTAAATTAGCTTTATGCTAATAAGATTACTACAAGCAATACCTTAAAGTTATACAATAGGTCACAGAGTTATCAATAGTCTAGGGTTATCACAAAGGTTATTTAAAGCTGTGAAATTTCCCAATGATATTAACACTACAAACAATTCTTCATAAATCTACTTCTATTTCACAAATTTCTGGAACAAATTACAAACAGATATCAAATGTATACTAAGTTTAAATAAAATTTGTAAAAATTTTTATAAGTTTGTCAATATTAATTGAAGCAGAGCTTGTTTTAGCCAATATTCTCACATATAAGTGGTTGGATTACTTCTGAACACTAGAGATGATAGCCTCAAGTAACTGGTTAACAGAATTATTCAGCTTAAGAAATTGGCCAATAGCCTTTACCTCCAATAGGTGGTACATTGTGAACAATGACAGATGAGATGGCATCAAGCCTTGTCTGATATCTTCAACTTCTGCTTGCCACCGCTGCTCTAGTTCTGCCAATACCTGATAAGTGAGATGAAAATTATCAGTCAGAAAGGTACACATCACACCCATGTACATAATTTTCTCAGTTCTATTATTTTGTTATAGACTTCAGGAAAGATTCATGAACTCTCTTCAACTTCAATGAAGGTACACATCAATAGCTCATTTTTAATTTCAAAATCAATTATTTAAATAAATGATTAATCTGTACCTCTCTGACTCACATGACATGGTGACGCTGTGTCTTCTCATTTAAAAATGTTTTCTCCACCCTTATAAGGTTTCACATTTTTCAATCAATTAGAAATACCACAGATATTGATAAGACAAAATATAAAATTTCATCCTTTTAACTTCTTGCTTTACTGAGATATCACTACATTTGCTCAACCCACACTGACTCAGCCCTACCATATCTTCTTCATTTTAGGAAATGTCTATCATTCTCTTTGACATTACTATTGGACATATTTATAACCAACAAAAAGAGCATATTCTAAACTACATACGTGAATGATCAATTGAAAGCTTAGAATGTTCCCCCTAGTGGCTTTCTCAGCCATATTCATGTGTTAGGATGCCATCTCGTTCTTTCGAACCAAGATTTCAAGGAGGTAGGTTGTATCTTTAGTCTGCTCAAAATTTCATATTTTTTTAGACCCAAATACAGCTTAGTTACTAAGCTTGATAAATTATAGTGGAATTTTGTGGTATCAATATAGTAATTTATGATTTTTTGGTTATTCAATTGTATATATAAAACCGAAAAAAACTATTTTGTTTCATATCCTCCATGTGCAAAATTTTAAAAGGCTTAGCCACCTACAACAAGCAGCAACCAAATACAAAAGTCGTAAGTAGAAGAGATAATGTTTGCTTTACTTTTTTATTTACTGTTCTATGTTTTAAGAAAAATAAGTTTAAGACCTTATTTCTAATTAGCAATAATCTATATACATATATAATGTATAATAATGGAAATATGACTGTATTTTACAAAATACTAGTCACTTTATTTACTGACTAGTCACTAGTCAGTTTTATATTATTGGATACTGTAACATGAGAGCACGTGTGCCACATCATTGTAACTTCTATATTGTTAGCCAGTCACAGATGAAAGGTCAATATAATAAATATATACACAGCATGGTCACAATTAAATAGACACCACCTTTTCAGAAAAAATGAAATTTTTCAGTCATATTCACATGAATTGATATACTTATAATTTAATTAATATCTAATAGATCTTCCTTTCGCTTCGTGGAGTTCGTTGATCCTTTGGGGCATCGTGAGAATCATCTCGTCAATTTTAGATTGTGGGATTTTCGCCCACTCTTGTTCAAAACTTGGAGTAGATCGTCTTTGAAGTTGGTTTTTAGTTGTTTCTTGACTTGCCGGTCGAGTATGGCCCAGAGGTTTTCGATGGGGTTCATGTCAGGAGATTGGCTCGGCCAGAGCAACTTCTGGATACCATTTTCTTCCTGCCACTTTTGGGTGTTTCTAGCAGTGTGACATGGTGCTCCATCTTCCTGGAACAACGTTGTGTTCTTGTCCACGAAATCCGAGGAATAAAGTGACAAGAGTCCTTCCTCCAATATTTCAACGTATTTCGCAAAAGTTATGTTGCCAACACACTCCACTAAGCTCAATCTCCCATCAACCCAAATAGCTACACAAGCCATTATGCTGAATCCACCATGCTTCACAGTTAGCTGCAATCTGCTGAGTCAAACTCTTGGTGAGGCATTCTCTAGACCCATATCCTTCCACTGTCCGAAAATGGAGCTAATATTGATTCGTCTGAGAACAATACGGTCTTCCAAAGGTCCAGAGGCTTGGTCGTCATATCACTTGTC